GCTCCGCAAGTAACAGTTTAACCAGGAGCAGTAGAACTCGGTGATAAAGGTGCACCGTTTGTATCAGTATTTGGTTGAAATACTGTACTGAGGTGCTCTGCAAAACAAGACGCCTTGGGAGACAAAAACGTTATAAAACTTGTAGATTTCTATCCCCTTTGCATCTTAATGCTTTTTTGTGCGATCGGAGGACATGCCATTCGCTTGTTTCCCACCAACAACTCGCTTCAGCGGTTATAAAGCGCCAATTATATTATATAAATATGATCATTTTGTATAACTGCCGACCATTTGGATTAAATCATTTCCATCCCCAATATGTATGTTTTGCATTGGAGTCACCTCCAGCTAAAAATCCATCTCCCAGAATCTTGAAAAAGTCGCTGAATATACAAAAATATACAAGTTTTACTTATCGCATAACATCAACTTCGTGAATCTGTAAAAATAATCTGAGTGCTAACTTATACTGGTTTACACCATTAGCCTTCCACAAACAAATCTTGAGTTCACTCATTTTTTAGTAATAAGGGCTTGAGGCATTTGGGTTAGCGCTTTAATTAGATCTTGGACCATACTTTGCATGGTTACCATTAATTGTGTCATGCACTGTGTTAGATTTAAAATCATGGCCTCAACTCCGGTACTGGAAGGAATAACTTGTGGGGTCGCTTCACTGGCTTTTAGTACGTTGGCATAAGTCATTTGACCAGAATTTGAGCTGGGTAGATTGGAAGGGTCCGAAATGGAAATAGTATATGGCAGCTGGTTACGTTTGGCTTGCGACTTTAGATTTTAGGCCATTGTAAACCGGACAACCTCTGTAATTAGCGATATGATTGCCACCGCAGTTGCTACACTTATTTTGTGCAACATCCGTTTTATTCAAGGGACACTTGGAAGATTGATGAAGATCACCACATGCTACGTCGACGGTACATGAAGTACAGAAGGATTATAACCAAAATTCCTGTTAGTTTGTGCAATGTACAGAACCAATTCGTTTCAGTGATCCCTCCACCGTGATTCTTCGGTGAAAAAGATATTTTAAACAGTAAATTGGATGCGTTTCGTTTTGCTTGAGTTTAACTGAACTTGGCAATAAAAACACTTTAAATATAGGCTGCGGTACTTTATTCCTGTTAATTATGTTAACGACCGCCCTAATTTCAAACCCTTCCTCCTGTAGAGCTGCCTTTATATCAGCTGTGGCTTCAATTCCCTTAATTGCAACAATCAGACCTTTTGCAATCTTCAACTGGTAAGAGTAATATTCTTGTTGTTTGCTGAAAGAAACACAACGATTTCACGAAAGTCTTTTTCGCTGTGTACTGGTATCTTTGTTTTGTCTATGCTTCTTTTTTTAGAGTTACAATGTGAAAATTGTTGGTACCTATTATCTTGGCTATTTTCGTAACGAGTAAATTAGAGCTGCGATCCCGCAAGTAGATTGGTGGAGGTTTAGTATTGGCGACTGTGGAAACACACTTTGAGTCTGTTATGGGCTCCTCCTCATTTAACGGGGCAAATCTATTCTCTTTTAGTGTATTACCATTAGCATCGGTAGTGGAGCCAACGGTTTTATACTTCTTAGCATTAATTCTTGTTTTGTGAGTATTAGATTTCCTCTTTTTATTTACCACCTTAATGTATGATCTATGCCTGTTTGCACTGCCGACCCGGTTTTCTTTTTGGCTGTCCCCCATGGTTCAGTATTTGTCGCCCGCACTGGAGTTGCTGCTGCTGCTTCGCTGCTTGACTTCATAGACGTTTGCCTTTCTGCTATTGCTGGATAACTTATACATGTTGCGAAGAGAGTTACTTCACTCTTTGCTCTCCCTGTTGTTGCTAAAGCCTGTGTTGGCGTCTTTAAAGTTGGACTGCTTGCCTTTGCACTGCTCTTAGGTAGGGATATTCTCGCAACAACAGTGAAATAGGCATTTTTCTCTGCCGTCGCGACCTAATGCCGTCTATTTTTCTGATTTGAGCGTTGATTACTTATTACATCGCCGGTTCACTTTTCACTTCTCATGTTCGTTTCTCTGTTTAGTTAGAAAAGATTTTTTTTTTTTGTTATATATTTTGTTTATTTTTATGTGTTTATTGCCAACTTAAGTGGGTATAGCCACTTCAACCGATGTGTAAATTTACACGGTTAAATGCTTTAGTTTTTTGAGCTTTAAGTGAAGTTACGCAGCCGATTATAAAACACGTCGTACACTATGAACACTTCGATACAGAACAATTGCTTAAATTAGACTTTTTTCTCTATAGCTCTGAAGCATTGAGTTATAGAAATTGATGTTTGATAATATTAGCATATTTTATATTTTCATATACTTAATTGCCCCTGTTGTAAAAAGAATTAAGAATGTGAATTAAGTTTTAACTTCATATATGAATTCTTAAATAAAGAGATTTGCTAATGAAGGGTGGGTTAAAGAGGCGTATATCTTAATAACATCTTTAATATAAAACTATATTTTTCTTCTGCTAACCAGTTGGTCAAGTACCTTTTATTTGTTCTGTAGCATTATTCATGAATATCTATTTTGTCCCCTTCAAAACAATCCACATGAGATATTATACACTTGTGCCAACGGTTTTTCCAATCTTCGAAGCACTTCGAAAAATCATTTTTTTTTATACCTTGCTCAGCTCCTCCTTCAAAGCCGTCTTTATGTCGCCAATCGTAGCATAACGTCGTCCTTTCATGGGCCTCTTCAGTTTAGGGAACAAGCAAAAGTCACAGGGGGGATCTGGGGAATACGGTGGCTGCGGCATCATCAGTTCGTTGTTTTTGGCCAAAAAGTCGCGCACAAGCAACAATGTGTGAGTAGGGACATTATCGTGGTGCAAAAGCCAATTTTTGCTCTTAAACAAATCCGGGCGTTTTTGGCGATTTGCTTCGCGCAAATTGCGCATAACTTGCAAGTAATATTCCTTATTGACCGTTCTACTTTGCGGCAAGAACTCATGATGCACCACGTCCCTGCAATTAATTTTTTCGCCTGTTGTTGAATTGCTCGGGCGTCCGATACGCTCTTCGTCGTTCACATCTTCTCGGCCTTCTGAGTACATTTTGTACCACCCATAAACGTTGCTTCGGTCCAAGGTAGCTTCTCCGTATGCCACAGTCAACGTTCGGAATGCGTCTGCCCAGGTTCTTTGATCCATTTTTTTGAATAGGTAAAAATCGAAGACCATCCAAAACACGTGCAAGCAAAGCAGCTTTCAAAAAATGGCCGAGCTTTTCGGCATAAGTGACACAAAAAAAATCGAATTTCGATTATACGTGACCCGCGAAAATTCAAAATTCCTTTTTGAATACACCTCGTATCTCTATCCCGACCGTGAGCTAGCAATTCAAAAGCTCCCGCTCCATTCTTTTTCTATCCCTATAGAACAAAGTTTTAACTAACCATGCTTGCTACAAACTATTTTACAATTGTATATTACAGTTTGTAGGATCGGATGGAAAGCTAACTGAAGTGCAATTCTATAACTTTTATCAACACGATTTGTCGGATCACAAACTTGCATTTTGTCGCTTGCGCTAACGATTATGCGATTTCTAACTCAGTTTTTACGATAATCGACAGCGCACCTTTAAAATTTATTGAAATGAAGGAAAGGTGACACCACAACTGAACAAAACGTCAAAATATGCGAAAAGCATAAAGAGAAATGAAAAAAAAAGCAAATAAATTTGTTATGGAAATTATTTTTATCAAATCAAAAACATGTGATGGTTTGCACTTTCATGCATGACTCTTCGCTCTATAAAATCCAAATAAAATAATTGTGCCGCGCTCTTGGGTACTTGGTATTTGCCGCTATAATCTTGCGATAAGGATCACATATCTGTGTACAAATATAATGAACTTTGTTATTTAAGTAATAATGGAAAAAAATATACTGTCTCCATTTGCACGTTGGTATAATGGTATCCATGAAGGTTGGCATAGGTTGTCCGGAATCGATAGCCCCATATGTGCCTCCAACCAAAGACGACGGAATGGGAAATCTAACCTTCGCAGGAAACATTGAACGGTCACACGTTTAAAACAATGGTTTACTGACGACTGACTCATGGCAATTGCTCTCCGACGGGACGATTGTAGCATCCCGTTACACAGAATAGGCGGTTAGAACCTTTACGTAAACATTTTAATATTTAATATAATATAACTAAGTATATAATAGTTATATTATTACTTGTTTCTCAGTAAGTAACGTTGTTATTGCTCTGTATTTTAGCTTATGACAACAACGAGAGCGAATATCGTTAAAATAAGTACACCGAATTTTAAAATCGCTAAAAATATCGCTAAGTCTTCTTTGCGATCCAAAAATCGTTATACTATTCTAAGAGAATAGCGCATATCGTCAAAATTACCGCTAAGTCTTCTTTGCGATCCGAAAATCGTTAAAGCATATAAGAGAATAGCGAAATCGTTAAAATTATCAATAAGTCATTTTAATGATCCGAAAATCGTTATAATACTACAGAGAATTCACCTACTGGCGCGCTAACTTTATATTAATCCGGCTATAATCGAGTATGCGGTGATATCGACAATAAAATGCTTGGAGCGGCGTATGCATAATCGACAAGACATTGCATGCTTATGGACATGTTTCTTCCCTGCTTAATGGTAAATTTATTACTTTACACCCAGGGAATCTACAGAATTAGGAGTTCTTCAGGCCTTTTCACAGCAATATCGACTTCAACGCAGGATGATTTGTAGAAACTTGAAAGCGTTGTCCGTAAGCTCTCACTTATTTTTAAACTACGTTATACCAATAACTCCGTTTATCTGTGTACTAAAAAGAAAGGAAATACACAAACTCCCATACTTTTGTATGCTTTTAAGACTTTGACTAAACCAATAAATCTCCTTTTTAATAAATTAGTTTAGGTATATGTATATTTAGGTTAAAAATCTAGTGTTACAGCAAGCTTCGAAGCATTTTATGTAAACCATGGTACATACCCGCAGTGCTTCATATTAAGTGGCTTATCTAGCCGGCAAGCGATTTTAATACGTAAATCTTGATCTGGGAGATTTCTAGGCACTACCATCCGATGCCACTCTGGGGACTAAATAAAGTTGTTGAAATAGAGAAGAAAAAATTAAGTTTATGGTTTAAAAAACATACATATGATTTGTATTACAATATTGTACCTTCGATGAAAGAGGCGTTGGCTTTATTGTGACCTTGCCCAATTCCTTATCTTCCAATGCTAACATTCCAGGATTTTCCGTGTATAGCTTAACTTTAACTACGGGTAAGGGATGTGTCGTTGTAAAGTCACCTTGTGTGTCCCACCTAAAAAAAAATTTTGATGCAGTTTTAGTTTTAAAGACTTCGTAGTGCTTGTGTTATATAAGAACTTGCATGGGTTTTGAAGCCTCGGCCTGGTCGGTTTGTAGTTTTTCACCGTTCTCCACTTCCATAGTGCAATAGACAATACGGTTGGTAGCCAATGATTTCAGGCCTTTAACTTCCATTACGATAACCTCCAATTGAAATGTGAGAACTACGTCTAACTTCGTAAGCTGTGTTATACTTTCATCCGCATCACTTTCTAATTTTGAAAGGGAGCCATGTGATCGCAATATCATCTTCCTACTTAAATAAACATTCCAAAGTATTATTATTATGGGTAGGCTGATTCTTTACTTTTTCATCGACATATTTAGTCTAAATAATCTTGTTGTCAGCAAGCAGTTAGATATATTATTATTATCACTTATTATAATTGAACATTTTAACGATTTGGAAACACTAGCTATAAGAGCTATCGGTTAATTGCAGTATATATATAATGAATATCTTAAATTATATTATGAATATTCAGCAGTTTTAAAAAGATGTAAATATTTTTGATATTGTCTTCATTTGGTGTGAATAACATGGACCTGGGGTCTTAACGAAAGAGGTTGGGTTTAGAAGTGAAGCATTATAAAACATTTGTTTGCGGTGGTGACTGTTGTTGGTAGTACTAATGCGACTTTGTTTGGGTTAATACTTTTGTATTGACTGATCTGTTTTGTGTATGCTTGAGAAATTCCTGCAGTATCTCATTTCTGATCCGTTCGTTCTTGAATGGAAAGAAAAGCTGAAGAGGAGATAATGATGCAGTTTTTGTTGCTTTATCTGCCAATCCGTTTCCTATAATGCCAACATGGCTTGGTATCCACATGAAATTGACTTTTTTTCTGAAAAATAGGGCCTAATGGTAGTAAAACATCCCTTAATATTAGTACACCATTTTCATGAACCACTGCAAAAAATGTACCATTACTGCTTTTTTATCCATCTGTATATTGAAAATTCCACTGATTGGTTTTCAATTGAGTGATAGTTTCTTGAAATATTTAGTGTAGGCATTAATTCGTCATTTCGTGTCGCTTTCAGTAGATGTCATTTGTTTTAGCGTTTGTACCAGGCAAAGTGTTTTTGCGGGGAGTTCTTCTTCATTACTCTAACATGAAGAAAAGTGCTACCGAAAGCCATCGTACAATATTTTACTAGACGTTTATGGTGACCATGCTCTAACGAACGTGCCAAAAGTGGTTTGCACGGATTAAAAGTGGCAATTTCGACTTAGACGACGAAGAACGAGCGGGACAACCGATAAAACTTCAAGATGAAGAATTGGAGACATTGCTCGACGCAGATGCATGCCCGGCGCAGGAAGAAGTTGCAAAAGTATTAGGAGCTGATTAAGCAACCGTTTCCAGACAATTGAAATCATTAGGATTTATCCAGAATCTTGGAAATCGGGTGCCTTATGAATTAAAGTCAAGAGACGTCGAACGGAAATGTTGCTTCAACGCCACCAAAAGAAGTAGAATTTGATGGTGGGACCACACGGCTGTGCTCCATTATGAGCTATTGAAATCGGATCAGACGACCAATGGAAACCTCTACCGAAAACATTTGATTCATTTAAAAGAGGTCATCGCGGAAAAACGACCAGACCCGAATCAATAATATTTCATCATGACAACGCTCGGCCACATGTTGCAAGGCCACGTAAAAACTATTTGGAAAACTGTGAGTGGGAAGTTCTACCTCACCCGCCTTATAGCCCAGACATAGCACTATCCGATCACCACTTGTTCAGATCAATGCAGAATGCCCTCACCGGAGTACTCTTCACTTCAGAACAGGGTATCAGAAAATGGCTCGATTCTTTCTTGACCTCCAAGCCGGAGAACTTCTTTTGGGATGGGATCCACAAACTGTCAGAAAGATGGGCAAGCATCGTAGTTTCCCATGGGTAATACTTTGAATATTTAGTTTCGAGTAAAAATCTGTGGCTTTTTTCAATGCTTGCCGATCTGAAGTCGGCCCGAGTAAATGACGAGGATGCAATTTAAATTTATTTTCAATTCATTATGACACTTTATTTTCTATTTTTATTGTACAATTAAAACTTTAATATGACTGCACTCTAAGGTTCAGCGATAAAATACACCGTGCGCGCGCGTGGGTGGTTGGATTGATTGAGTTTTAGCATACCCTTTTTTGTTAGCTCGAACCACCGCAGTTAAGTTAGTTTGGTTAACAAAGTAGGGTATACACGGAAAAAAGGATAACCGCGTGGTATCTGCCGTCGGCGCGAGAGGGACTGCACGGCGCGTTGCCACTGGTGTCCTTCGCCTGGAAATGGAAAAAACACGGTACAATCGGTAGTTTACCTATGCAAAGAGGTGTATCGGGTTAAGAGAGGAATTTCTCTTTATTGCTGTGCTTCGAGCGAAGGTTGCTCATTCGGAATGAAGCACAGTTTTACTAAGGGCCGCGTGATAATCTTGTTTTGCGTGCGGATGTTCACGACACGGATGTGATTTACAGGCCCACGATGAACCTTTTCGATTCGTCTGAGACGCCACTCGGTCGGCGGTAAACCGTCGTCTCGAACTACGGAGCAGTCGCCAACTTGGGGCTTCTTCTGTGGAGATTTCCGCTTATACCTCTTTCCAGCGACGACTGAAGTGATGGTGAAGTGCTTTGACTTTCTCCCATCGGTTAATTAACGTGAAGGTTTCCGCATTTGGCTCGGAAATGGCTAACAGCGGAGTGCCTCGAATGAAATGACTCGGAGTTAGTGTTGTGAAATCAGCTGGGTCCTGTGATAATGCCGACAGTGGCCGAGAATTAATTACAGCCTCAATTCGAATTAAGAGTGTTGTGAACTCTTTAAATGTGAATTTATGGGAAGCATCGGTTTTTTTTTAAAGTGAGTTTTAAAACTCTTTGCCTCCCATATGCGGGGCGCTGGGTGGTAAGTATTGCGAATTGATTCCTTGGGGAGCATACTTCTAGGTAATATCTGTTGAACAGTCGTTAAGGAATTTGTCGAATTCGCGTTCAGTTGCTCTCTGTGCTCCGATGAACGTTTTTCCATTATCACTCATCATTTTTGCGGGATATCTTCGCCTGCCCACAAATCGGGCAAATGCTGCTGTTAATTCCTCAGTGGTAAGATCAGAGCATAACTCAAGATGTACTGCCTTCGTCGCGAAGCAAACGTATACGGCAACGTACCCTTTGATGAGCGTAGGGGATCTCAAACTTCGCCTGCCCACAAATCGGGCAAATGCTGCTGTTAATTCCTCAGTGGTAAGATCAGAGCATAACTCAAGATGTACTGCCTTCGTCGCGGCAACGTACCCTTTGATGAGCGTAGGGGATCTCAAAACTGAGGCCTTTATTAAAAACGGTCCTGCGAAGTCCAGTTACAGAAAATGGTAGGGACATTCTGCACCGCTCCGGGGGTAGAGCGGCTATTACCTGGGAGCGCGTTTGTTGCTTATATAGAGTGCAAGCTTTGCATTGAAAAATGTATTTTTTTTTTTTTTAATGGCTTTAGCTTCGGTATGAAGTATTCTTGCCTGACCATTTGAAGCATGATGCGCGTCTCTGCATGGAGAAGCAGTGCGTGTAAGAACTTCAAATGTAATTACCAAAATCTTGATACATTTGTAATGATGATTGGATGCCGCTCATTATAGCTGAATGTGGCATGCGCTAGTCTGCCATTGACGCGGAGAAGTCCGTTTTTATCCAGGAATGGCTTCAGGTTGAGGAGTGACCTTTTGTTGTCAATTGGCTATTTCTTTTGTAACGCATCTTTTTCGCCAGGAAAATAGCGAGATTGCGATACTTCGATTAGACGCTACATTGCGAATTGGCATTCAGCATGAGTCTGATGTGGCATGGTAGTTATTGGTTGCATTTTTGACTTATTTTGGACATTGTTCATGAAACGGAACATATAGGCAGTCACGCGGATCGCTCGAGGGAGTGAAGAGAATCGATCGAGAAAATCGGTTTTTACTTCGAGCGCATGAAAGGTCTCAATTTTCCGCTTTTCTGATGGAGAGGAACTGCGTGCCTTTGAATTAGGCCAATATTCCATGTAGTGTATGAGCCACTTTGGTCCGTGCCACCAGAGCGAGTTGGTAGCTAAGTCTTGGGGCTTGCAAACACGAGTGCCGAGATCAGCGGACTTATTTGCGCTTGCTACATGACCCCATACTCTTCTTGGGACATATTCCCAAGTTTGGGAGGCGCGATTAGACACGTACGCCTTCCGTGTGTATGGTGGTTTTTCGAGCCATGCCAGTACTATTTCAGAGTCTGACCATAAAAATGTGTTGCACGCTTCTAAGCCTATCTGGTTTTGGACAGTTGTAGTCAGTTTTTCTAACAGTGCTGCTCCGCACAGCTCTAAGCGAGGAAGGCTTACAGTTTTCAACGGTGCAACTTTGCTTATTGCGCTCAGTAGGGTGGATGTTGCATTAGTATTCGCTTCTGTGTGTACATAAATGGTTGCACACTTTTTCCGAGGCATCACAGAACCCATGGATTTGGGTATCCTGCCTCGGAGTAAAATTTAGCCATCGAGGAGTTTCGATGTTGGAAATGGCTGGCAAGTTTTGAGTAAACTGTTGCCATTTTACTATTGAAGTGGGTTTTGCTCATTCATCTCAATGAATACCATCGAGCCAAAGTTCTTGTTGTAGAATCTTTGCTTGTATCATAACTGGCGATAGCCATCCTGCCGGGTCAAAAAGTTTTGCGACCGACGACAGCATTTGCCGTTTTGTTGGAGCTGTAGTTGCTAAAATTGGCAGGTTGGTGTATGAGAACCTGTCTATTAATGCGTTCCATCGGATACCGAGAGTTTTGGTTGTGGAAGCAACTTCAAGTTTGCGTTGGGATTTTGAGTATTGGTGTGGCCAATGGAAGCCTCACTTTTGTATCTTCTGCCAATTGACGTAGAGTACGGATAGCGAGATATGGCGCACAATTAATACCGAATGTCACTGTGTTAAGATTGTAATCAGAGATGGGGGAGTCCTCTGACTCGCGAAAAAAAATCGCTGATAATCTTATCGTCCTCATGGATTAGGATTTGCCGTTTGATGGAATGCCGCAGATCGAAAATGGTCTAGGGTGAGTTTTTCTGCAAAAGTTTCCTTAATTGGAAGCCTGACAATGTAGCGACCGCTTGAATTACGGGTCGTTGTTGCAACATAATAATCTTCACATGCCTGATTTTCAGGCGAACTTTGTGAAGGTATATGGATTTCCTCCTGTTCCCAGAATTGCCTCAGTTGTGCACTGAGCGTTTAATTGGACTTTCGTTCTATTTGGGTGGAAAATGAGGATACCTTTTCGGTCACCGAACCACTAAGTATCCATCCAAATATGGTATTTTGCGCAA